GCTGGCCTCAGAGAGCTCTTCCAAACACCAAACCACACAGATAAACCAAGGACAGACGGCATAACCACCAAAGTCCCCTGCCAATCTCCACTAGCAGAACCGGTCAACACACCAACAAGTAGAGAGAGGCAGCTGGAGACCCCTCTCCAGAAAGTGGACATAGAGGAAGAGCCCTTAGCTCTAGGGAAGGCCACCGGAACACCAAAGAAAACCATGCTCTCGTACACAGAAGCAGGTGGTGGTGATGAAGACATCAAATTGTCTAAGGAAACTCCAGAGAAGAAGCTAGACTGTGTAGAAAATCTAACCGGAAGCAAGAAGCGGAAAAGAAGAGGGAAAGAAAAGGCCCAATTCCTAGAAGACATGGTCGGTTTTAAAGAGCTCTTCCAAACCCCAGAGCACACCAAGGAACCAGCAGCTATTGTCAAAACCGCAATAATGCCTGGCAGATCTCCACTAGCAGAAACAGTCACCACACCAACCCACATGAAGAGACGTCTGAAGATACCTCTGGGGAAGGTAGATGTAGCGAAGGAGCTCTCACCTCTCACAGAGCCCATCCAAATGCCAGGGGAAGCTACACACACACACAGAGAACCAGGAGGTGCTGATGCAGCCATCAGATTGTTCAAGGAAACCCCAAAGCAGAAACTGGATTCTGCAGAAAATGTAACTGGAAGCAAGAGGCGGTCGAGAGCACCCAAGAAAATGGTCCGTTCCCTAGAAGATCTGGTTGGTCTCAAAGAGCTGTTCCAAACCCCAGAGCATACCCCAGACCCAGTGACTGATGACAAAACCACAACAGTCCCCTGCAAATCTCCAGCAGCAGATCCAGTCAACAAGCCAAGAAGTAGAAGGAGGCGACTCAAGACCTCTCCCCAGCAAGCAGACGTAAAGGAAGAGGCCTCCGCTCTCGGGAAGTCCACCCGAACACGGGGAGGAAAGGCACACTCCCACAGAGAATCAGGAGGTGCTGATGAAAATATCAAACTTTTGAATAAAACTGCAAAGCAGACACTGGACTCTGCGGAAAATGTAACTGGAAGCAAGAAGCAGTCAAGAATACCCAAGAAAAATGTCCAGTCCTTAGAAGACCTGGCTGGCCTCAGAGAGCTCTTCCAAACCCCAGAGCACACCCAGGACCCTATGGCTGATGACAAAACCACCAAAGTCCCCTGCAAATCTCCACTAGCAGATCCAGTCAACAAGCCAACAAGTAGAAGGAGGCGACTCAAGACCTCTCCCCAGCAAGCGGACGTAAAGGAAGAGCCCTCTGCTCTCGGGAAGTCCACCCGAACGTGTGGGGGAAATGCACACTCACACAGAGAACCAGGAGGTGCTGATGACGACGTCAAATTGTTGAAAAAAACTGCAAAGCAGACACTGAGCCCTGCAGAGAATGTAATGCTCAGGAAAAGCCGGCTAAGAGCACCTAAGGAAACGGCCCAGCCCCTGGAAGACCTGGCCAGTTTCAAAGAGTCGTCCCCAGTGCGGGACCACAGCAAGGAACCGGGAAAGGCCGAGGGTAGCCCTAAGGATGCTCCGGAGCAAACTCCAGGCAGGAGGAAACCTGCGACCGTTTTGCAAAGAGGCCTCAGGGCCCGTAGAGTAAGAGCCGTGGAAGACCTGCAGGCCCACAGAGAGCCCATCGAATCTGGACGTGAAGGCGGCGTTTCCCTGCCCTCCAAGAGGAAACGAGGAACGGAAGAAGGTTCGGCAGGAGCCAAGAGGCTGCGATCCGTGACCCCTGCGCAGGGCGCTGCCGAGGGGAAGCCAGCGCCGAAGAGGAGGAGGAGGGCTCCCACAGAGGGGTGTGACCCACCCGAACCCCCGACAGTGAAGAAGAGGCTGCGGGTCGTGGCAGAAAGGATGGAACTCCTGGGAGACCGGCCAAGGAGCAGCAGGGAGATTAAAACAAGGGGAAGAGAAGCAGGAAGGACGACCCCTCCACATCAGGTGATGCTGGGTGGATATGCCATCTTGGATGGGGTTCTCCTTTGGGGGCTAACGTTTGTTCATAGCTTGAAGGTATATATGAGTATCTTTTCCCAAAGGGGTCTGCATTCCACACTGAATAACTGCAGACCAGGATAAAGAATCCTTTGGGGATTTACAGAGAGAATAGACAAGTTGGGGAAAATAAATAGTAAAAATTAACTAAGAATTTTGACAAGAGTTTCTCAGGAACTGGTTGAGTTATGCTCATCTGCAGAGGTGGGAAAGGCGCCGAGAAAAGGTGGGAGCTCAGTCCTGTGTTGTTGTTCCCGACCCCACAAGCGGGGGCACTGGGTGGGAGTGGTATCTGTGTCAGTCCTTACGCGTTTAGACCATCCTCGTGGGTATTTGCGTCCTGAGAGCAGCCTACCTGTCAGGCTTGTGAGGTAGGGGGAGTTACTCCTGCACGGAGAGAAGTTTGTAAATTCAGTGCCAGAAATTGCGGTTCTCCCGTCCTGCTCCAGCAATGATTGGGAAAGGATTAGGAAATCATTTACTGCTTGAAAAGGGGGCATTTTTCTAGAGTGTTCTTTAAATGCTTGTTGTAATCCCATTTGACATATATGACACTCAGATATGGTGATGGAAATTGAGACCGAATTCCTTATTCACGGTTTACCAGTAGAGAGGATTTCTCCCTGGAACAAAGTGATTCCTGGCAGCTTCGAAAACGACTGTTAACTTTTCAAGCGAATTCTTTTTAAGTTCACTTTGTTTGTTTAAAGAGTTTATTTATTTAGTTTTGACCGAGGGATAGAGAGCACAAGTAGGCAGAGCGGCAGGCAGAGGGAGAAGCAGGCTCCCCGCTGAGCAGGGAGCCTGACATGGGGCTCCATCCCAGGACCCTGGGATCATGACCCGAGCTGAAGGCAGCCACTTAACCGACTGAGCCACCCAGGCGCCCCTAAGTTCACTTTGATCCTCTCTCTCTCTCTCCATGTTGGATTGTGAGAATTGTATTACTCATGAGTGCCATGTTGTGGATGTCTTGACACTTTTAGGGAATGTCCCTGCGCTCTAGACGTCCAAATAAAACTGAAGCAGAAGAGGAAAGACCCGAGCCTGTTATAACAGCAGCAGAAAAGCCGAAAACAAAGAGAAGTGACAAGAAGCCCCTGAAGACGTCCCAAGAGACAACGTTACAAAGCCCAGAAGACCAAGCCAAGAATTCGACATCTGGGGGCAAAGCCCATGAAAGCAGAATGTGTCTGAGGTCTGCCAGACTGGGTCAGATGCCCTCGCCTGACATAGCCAAGGAGAAGCAAAGGGAGAAAAGAGTGGGTGTCTCTGGGAAGAAGCAGGAGGAAGAAGTCAGGCAACCCTCAGACCCCATGTGTTTGAGATCCAGAAAAATTACAGTCCCTACTGGAGGAAATGCTTCAGAGAGCGAACCCCAACAGAGGGTAACTCGGAGCGCCAAGAGATGTGCTGAAAATATAAAAAAGGCAAGTAATTTGCTGTTTTCCTTTTGTGTGTGTGTGTGTGTGTGTGTGTGTGAACATAGAGTATTGCAATATCATTTTGGCCCCGTGTGCAGAAGCAAACAAAACACGACCTATAACACGCTGCGGACTCCTAGTTATACCGGTGTAGGAAGCACGAGTCTACACCATACATTTTGTCATAGCTGAATTCAGCTGTATCTGTCTCCACTTCCGATAGAAAACTGATGTTTTGAAGACACCATCCAGGAAGAGCCAGGAGTTTATGCCGTCAGTACTTTCTGACTGCCTGCAACATATCCCGTAAGAAAATTCTAGGTCAAGGTCCTCAGTTTCCCCATTAGTTCAGCAGAACTTACTAAAGCAGAAAGGCGGTCCTGTCTGGCTTTCCCAGGAGTTCCGAGAAGTGTCCCACGGCGAGTGGTATGCGACGCCTGCTAATGTTATGTCACCTTGAGCAGCACGTGAGCCGTCTGCCATGTGACTAAATCCGCAGCGCGTGCTTAAATTCGGTCGGTGTCCTTCTGCGGAATACTTGATTTTGTGAGTTTGAAAGAACGGGCTTCCACAGCTCCCTTCCTGGGAGTGGTATGAATCTCTGAGCGCGCATTTCGAGCCAAGAGGCCAGTGGTGCTGTGGGCGACTCCTCTAACCCGCGCGGGCGACCTTCCTGCTTCACCGTTGGTTCGGTGCCGGCTGCAAAGGCAGAAGAGATCTGTTTCCTGCGAGCTGGAGTGGGCGTGATGGTACCATCCGAGGTGTCATTGGGCACCCCTGCCCCCCTTTGAGCTGTGAGGGAGCAGGGACAGAGCAGGTGACTGTGGTCAGCGAGAACAGAGTGGACTCCACCCAGCCCTTTATTAGCTCATGTAGCGCCCATCCTCTCTCGTCCTCCGCGTGTGGGTCTTGACCTTGACCGTTTCCTGATATTTCGGTCGTGGGATGAGCATCTGCACCGTAGCTGGGGACACCTTCCGTCAGTGTTCAAGGATTTCCAGTCATTTGCTTTCAAACCCAGCCTTTTTTCAATTCTTGCCTTTTGTTTTCCTCACCTTTCCCTCCCCTCAGTGACGTGTGAAAGATCGCTTGGTGAGGTCCCTGGTGGGGTCTGCCTCTCATGGGCCGTTGGGTCAGGGGAGGGTGTAAACCAGGAGCGGACACCCCGCTGGTTCTGAGAAGGCGGGTGGTCTCTCGTTTTATCTGATTGTCCAGAAGGATGAGCCTTCCCCTAGCTCCTTCGGGAGCAGGTGCGGCCGGTGGTCACACTCACCGAGCTTGGAGACATTGTCCGCTTCACACACACAGATTACTTAGAAGACCCAAAACGTCTTGTCCTGTTTATACATTTGAATTCACTTTTTTGAGTGGTATTTTTTAACTAGTGAAAAAAAATGTGTATTTGTGTGGAAGTTTTCTCTCTTTTTTTATTATGTATTAACTTAAAAACAAGTTACAAAGCTTCCTATTTAAATTTATAGTAACAAGATTTTAAAGAACAAAAGCAACTTTCACAGAGCACATCTCAAAACTCATTTCCAACCTTAAAATTAATTTCCTAAAACTAAAGGCCTGCATCACACCTAGTAAGGATTTGGGTTTTTGCAGATTTGGTCACGAAAAATTGTTCTTTTCAGCTACTTAAGAGTTCTATTTTTCTTCCCAAACAGGATAATGACAATGGGGGCATCAAGAAATTAAGAACCAGAAGTCATCGGGACAATGAAGATATTTAGCTACGAAGTTGAAAAGGGGAAAAAGAAAAAAAAAAAAAAAAGTAACAAGTTCAGTTTAATGATATATCCTAGTACAATATTTGGGTAAATATAAAAGGGAATTTTGTAAAGAATGCTATCCGGGTGTTTAAGGAAAGAAAGCGTAGAGTTTTCTGTCCCCGAGTGGTCTGTTCACAAAGGCCACGTGGAGGTCATGAAGAGGACTGCTGGTCTCATAAAGTGATAAAAATGTAAAATTTGGCTCGGGGACCGGTGGGGGGCAGGGGTTGGGACTAAGTATGGCCTTCAATGGGGCCAAATGAAGCCATGACGTTTATCACCCCTGCCCGTGCTTGTCAGTCCCGCGTGCGTGCACTTCCCACGCTGCACCGTAAATGCTTTGTGTGGGGCCGAGTCCCACGTCGGAATGTGAAAGCAGGGACTCCTGTCCCTGGGTCCCAACCCTGGGCGGGCACTCAGGAAACACGAACGAATGGGCAGATGAACAAACTCATCGGCTATTTCTTTACCACGGGGGACACGTTGGGTCCACTCTCGAGAGCTGTTGGCCCCCTGCATGGGACAGCCCCGTCCCCGGGTCCCTGCCACGGAAGGGACTACACGTGCCACCTGGAGGTGGCTGGTGGCCCCAGCTGCAGGGTGTGGGGGCCGCTGTATTTAAGGGCTGACTGGCGGCGTGCCTTTTCCGCTTCAAGCAGCTCTGTCCGACCTGGGACCGCTCGCATCTGAGAGGGCATCCGGCCCTGGGTCTCGGGGCCATCGGCCAGGGTGCCGCTCGCCTCTGAACGGCGACAGCCCTCCTAGCTTCTCGCGTTTTCCTCTGACCTTTCCGAGCTCTCTCTGGAATCTGCTCCCACCTGTGCTTTCTCAGACCGCCCCTGTCAGCCGCCTTCCTTTCCAGCACACCCCCTTGTTCTGCAAACCACCCAAACCCTCCTCCGGAGAAGACGGTGATTCCCGCGCCGTCCACGCAAGCCCCGGCCTCTCTGGTCTCAGACCGAGGCAGCTCCCTGCTGGGCATTTCCGTCTCCGTGGTCCACTCCGTCCGCTTCCTCTTTCCGTGTCCGCTGAATTAGAAGACAGTGCACCTGCCGCCCGGGCGCCTGTCCGTGTCCCCCCCCCCCCCCCCACTCCCCTGTCTAGGCAGGCTGAGGTGGGGCGGGAAGACCAGAGAGGGCAGCCGTCCCCTGCAGCCGCCCCGTCTGTCCGTTCTGACACCATGTGTCTGGCATGGAGCCAGGTGCACATAATAAAACATACCTGCTGAATGAATGCCTGAACCTAGGTGCGTCTCTGGGTCAGGGGTAGTTGCTTTTGCCAAAGTGGCTGCCATAATCGCATCCCAAACAGCGTTGTCTGAGGTCACCCAGAAGAGTGGCGGCTTGGGGGAGGGCGCTGGGGTGGGGCCGGCAGGGGACACCTGAGAGGCTCCACGGGGCAGGTGATGGTGGAACTGGGCCAGAAGAGGGGTGCGGTCTTGGGGAGCAGAACGGGGAGTAAGTTTAGGAAGTGCAGCCCCGATGAGAAAAGGCACTTTACTCGAAGGTGCGAGTCATGACTGTGTCATTGTGGGAGCAAAATACAAGAAAATGTAAAACAATGGGATTTTTCTATGATTAAGCTATTCCGCCAACACTTCGGATTTCGTAGTAATTATGAACCTTGCATATAGAAAAATTTCAATTAGCACATGCCTGGGGAATGGGAGATACTGGTTAATTAAGGAACCCTTTAGGGTTCAGTTCTAACCAAAAACCTCACTGCAGTATATCAGCATGTCTCCTCACCTTCGTCAAGGGTACGGTATTCCAGGAGCATAGTAAGAGCACCTTAGAGGCCCGCGGATGCTGGGTTAGGAAGGCTCATGATGAAAGCTGTCCACGGGACACGCGTTTCACTTGGCATTTTGGGGGCAAGCATCAGACAGTAACCAACTAGTCAACTTGTGTTTGAGAATATGGTGCGAGAAAGAAATACCTACTTGCCCTGTGGTGTGGTAACTTCTCTGGGCCTCGGATTCCAAGTGAGCAACATCCACCTGATAGAAAGTTCTCAGTGAACAGAAACTATTTTTACGTTTTGTGCCTCCACACTTCTGCATGATCTGCCCGCCAGGCTCTCTGACTTTCTGTATTTCTGTGCTCTGCGCCGGGCAGCTGCTGACTTCCTTTAGGCCAGAGCCCCTCCCCATACACACACGTGCACACTCCTAGTAACACACGTACACACACACTCACAGAAACACGTACTCCTACACGCACCATCCTACACGCACACTCCTATACACACACTCTCCTACTAACACATTCCTACACACACTCAAACATACATACACACTCTCACATACTCCTAAACATAGTGACACTCCCACACACACACATACACACTCATACTCCTACACAATCCTACACACTGGTACACAACATAGTAACATATTCCCACACGCACACCCATACAAACATACACATACAAACAGTACACACACACACACACACACACACACACACTGCACTTTTCTCTGCCTGGGAGTCTCCCCACGTCCTTCCCGCTTCATAGACGGTAACCTCCAGTCCTGAGCTCAGCTCTGGTGAGGCTCCTCAGGGAAGCCTGCCCCCCACCCCCCACCCCCCCCGGTTTCCCGGTCCGGTGTGGCTCCGCATCCCTTGCTCCGGAGGCCTCCTGTGCTCATCCGTGGCACGTGGCTCTGGGGAACGTAGCGCACTAAGTGGGAGTCGGCCTCGTCTGCTAGCAGGAAGCTCTGTCCTTCACGACGGGCAGACCAGGGGTTCACCAGCATGTTCCAGTGGCCCCAGCCACACGACGTGGCCAGCCAGCTGTCTGTGAGGTGACATTTTCAAACCCACAGGCTGTTTATTAAAGGAAGGGTGGCGGGGGAGACGGAGGCAAAAACAGGAGCCAAGAGCAGGGAGCCACAGACCGGGGCTGAGTCAGAGGGCCCTGTTTGCCAGCTTGTCTGCGTCGCTATGACTCCGACGTGCTGGGACCGCGACTCTTGCCCTGACCAGTGAGCCGTGGCATTAGCCCTGCAGGAACAGCCCTCATACGTAGAGAAGGGGACCCCCTGAGCCCCCACCCACATCTGATCAGTCTTCTGTCTGGCCACCGGAGCAGGAGCTCCATCCTGGGAGAGAACGTGCCAGCAAGTCCCGGGGGTGGGAGCCCGTGGTGAGTGCGCTCGTCCCAGGGAAGAGGTGTCCTGTCGGGAGGTAGAGCAAGGCTGTCCGGCGTCTGCGTGTGTCTGGAATTTATCACTACCCGGAGGGGCTGAGGAAGAAAGGAAGGGAAGGCTCCCTCAATCCTACACACAAGTCAGGACAGGGAACCTGGGACTCAACCGCCCGGCACTCACCGGGTGGAGGCTCCCCAGGTTGTCACGGAGGGACTACCTTGCAGATGTCAACTCCATAAAGCAAAGGCTACCTCTTCGCTAAAAATGAGTCAAGATACGTGGCTGGGATACTATTTAGGAGTTTCCTCTAGAGGAGCCTCTGAATCGTCTTCCTGGACAGAGTTCCAGCCCCCCCTCCCCCGGATTCCGGTGCCGTGCAGAGAGACCAGGCCTCCGAGGGCATGGTCATGGTCCTCCCTGTCTTGGGCCTCCAGCACTGGCACATGAGCATCCAGTAATCTGTAAATTGGGAGTTCATGAATGTTGGTCTTTACAAAGGAACAGAATGCCCGTGACTTGTTCACACGAACCCCCTCCTCATGTCTCCATCATGATTTCATACGAATGAAAGATCTATTTGGTATGTTTATTGGGCCCTACAGAGGGCCCTGCTGTTGGGCAGAATCAGCCTCATGCTCACCAACCCACTCTGTAAGCTGGTGAGTCCCAAAGTTTCCCGGACGAGGGGTTTAAACAGCCATCAATGATGATCTTCTATAAAGTATCGAAGGGAAGTATTTCTAATCTGAATAACAAAGGGTTGGGTGTCTTGTGATAAAAAAGAATCACAATAAATCAACGAGAAAAAGTCAAGTGACTTTTTGGAAATGGATAAAAAATTTGGAAGCTGGATAAAAAATCCGAATTGGCGAGTCACAGATAAAATACAAGAAATAAAAGTGTGAAAAGACGCTCGACCCACTGGGAGTTAAGGAAATGCAAGTTGAAATGTACGACTTTTTTGCTTCTAGGTTTTGCAAAAACTAAGAGGTTTGCTCATATCCAGGGTTAGCAAACAGGCACCAGCTGCACCACCAGCAGTAAATGAGTTAGGCCATCTTCTGGCAATTCGGCACTTACTATTTATAATTAAGATGATATAGATTAAAATGTGTATAGCCCAGAAACTCCACCCCTAGGAAGCTCTCCTCGAGAAGTACTTGGTACCCGAGAGCAAACGCACACGCGTGCAGGTGTTTTCGTCCTGACACTGGAGGATGCAAGCCAATGTCCATGATGGAGGAATGACCATCAGAGTTTGTGAGGTTTGGAGAATATGAAGTAGCCCTTTAAAGGCAGCTGAGGAAGCTGCATATGTGTGGACATGGCCAGATGCTAAGACAGAACGTTGAACAAAATGGCGATTCACACAACGGCACAGAGGGGACATGTTTCATCACTTCTAAGATGCAAAGTTTTCATATATTAATTCTCTAGGGTTCAGATGTATCTCACCCTTGAGTCCTTCAGTGCTCGGAAATGCCGTGTAGCCTGGTAGAAGGCATACACTGCCTTCCTAATCCACGCCATTGAATCCTAGACAGGTGCTAAGCTCCTTCGGCCCTTGACCAACCTGCTCGCTAACCTGCAAGTCTGTCCGAGGTCATTAGCATGTGAAGTCATGTCTGAATGTTTCCATTTGATGGGGGGGGGGGCTGCCCCTGTGGCTGGCCTGGTGTTTCTGCCTTTTCTGAGGCTGTGGTCTCGGTCAGATTGGTTCAGTTACCTGGTCCCCGGTTGTCTGGCTGACGCCCATTCTTGCCCCTACCACCCCTCTCGCAAACCTCCCCTGTCTGCACCTACACTTGTCGAGTCCCTTTATCGCAGGTCCTGCTGACCTAGAGCCGATGAGGGACATGCAGGCAGACAGACCCGTAAGGAACACCCAATAATTAAATGGTCCATAGGAGCAAATAGCATTTCATAGCAGCTGATATTTGGGGGCGGGAGGAGGGGGAAAGGGATATAAAAGGTTATGAAATCATCCATTTTAGCAAGTATAACAAGCCTCATAAAATTTATTAAATAAATACAAATAATAAGAAGCATATGTTTAAATTCCACGTTAGCCCTGGGATATCGGAAAGAAGACGTCAGTGTGTGGGTCCGGGAAGGAAGTGAAGGTGGAGGGGTGCAGAGAGAGATCTGGGGATGACCAGAGACATATGGATGTGCAGAGGGAGCTCTGACAGGGTTTCAGATTTTAGGAGACAAAGCAGTGTTGGAAGGACTTTCCGATTCCACCTGGCCGTGGACTTTAAGCATTCTCTCATCTTCCTTGGGGACTCTGAGAAGCCACTGCTCAGAGCACAGATCCCTGTTTGGACTTTAGTAGGAGCACAGGCTCCCAGAAGGGCGAGTTACTCTGTGCCGCACACGCGGGTCACGCCTTCCGAAGAGCCGCTGGGAGCTGGGGCCAACCCCCGGCCACCATGCCCAGTGTCCGGGCTGTTTCCCTGCCAGGGCTGAGCTAGATGTTAGAAGTCCTAAATTAATTGTCTACATAAATCAATGTCTACCTCCTAATGAATGTCTTGTCTAAAAGGATGCACAGTTCGAATGCAATGAAGAGATTTCATGGAAGAAAGAGACACAGGCTGGAAGTCAAAGTAAAGATTTATCCTTGCATCAGAATGTTTTAGATCTTGCAATTTGCATATACAAAGAATTCAGCAACATTCACTGGCATTATAATCAGAGCAAGATCAAATTATAGATGTAATAAAAGAAAATATGATAGTTGAAACGGGGAATACATACATATATTATAAAGATTGCACATAAATTAAACACAACTGAGTTAAACAAAATTATCAGTAATCATACATTTTAAAAATAACATGGGCATGTCTCGGAATGCTGAACAGACATGTCAGGCTCATTTTAAAAAAGTTTTTAAAAACACATAAAAATACCTTTTAAAACACTGGTATGCATTCTTCATTCGTCTAGCACGTGGAGAGAGACAGTAAAGTGAGTCACACAGTGACCGTACAGCTTGCCGATCAGAATGGTAGGCTCCTAATCGCTATTTGGCATTTGAATGCAACCGCATGCAACATACAAAAACGTGAAGGGAAGG